GCAGGAACGAGACTTTCAAGAATGAACAGGCAGGCTCTGAGCAACAGCGGTTCGAGTCCGGCCCGAGGTGAGCAGCTGCTGAGCTGCCAACAGGTGGCAGGATGGCTCAGCTAAAAAAAAAAGAATGAACAGGCAGATTGAAGAATAACCAAATAGGCCTCCTAAAAATAAGAACTATAACACTAGAAATTTAAAACTCAGCAGATGGATTGAACATTCATTTAGAGGCAGCTGAAGAGAGGATTAGTCAGCTAGAAGATAGAGCCAAAGAAATTACTGAGAATGCAGTTTTGAGTGATAAAAAGATGCCAATTACAAAAGAGAAGTTAAATCATATAGAGGGTAGAATGACAGTCTATAATACATCTAAATTGGATTTCCTTCTGGAATGGAATATAGAGAGACTGGGGAAGAGGCAACATTCCATGCCAAATGCTGATAATTTACCAGAAATATTGGAAATAATTCCTCATATTCAGGAAGCCAAAAAAAAAAAGATATAGGGGGTGGGGAGGATGGGGGGAGATGGGGGGAGAGACAGAGAGAGAAGAAGAAGGAAGAGGAGGAGGAGGAGGAGGAATTAAAAGCAGTCAGAGAAAAAAGCAGACCCGGCACAAAGAAATAACAAATTTCTCAGTGACTGACAACAGATGGCAACAATAGAAACCAGAAGACAGTGGAAAGTATCCTCAATGCAGTGAGAAAAATGTTGTGAACTTAAAATTAAATACTCGGGGAAACTATCTTTCAAGAGTGACAGTGAATCAGGACAATTTTTGACAAATAAAAAGAGAGCTAACTCTTGCATACTCTCACTAAAGGGAAATGCTGGAGTATAGAGTCCAGGCAGGAGGAAAATGATGCCTGACAGGAAGTTTGAGACACAAAAGTGTTGAGTAAGGACAGTGGCAAATCTGTGAATAAAATAAGAATTTTGTACAATAACAACAAAAACAGGGCCGGCTGAGTGGCTCAGTTGGTTAAGAGTGTGAGCTCTGAGCAACAAGGTCGCCGGTTCGATTTCCACATGGACCAGCGAGCTGTGCCCAAGCTGAACTACCGCTGAGCTGCCAACAGGTGGCAGGATGGCTCAGCTTGTGAGAGCACGTGCTCCTAACAACAAGGTTTCTGGTTCAACTCCCGCATGGGAAGGTGGGCTATACCCACCCCCAACTAAGATTGAACACGGCACCTTAAGCTGAGTGGCCGCGAGCTGCCGACAGGCAGCCGGATGGCGACTGGACTTGGAGCTGAGCTGGCTGCGCCCTCCACAACTAAGGTTGAAAGGCAACAACTTGGCTGTTCCCCTCCCCCAATTCCCCAACACTATTTCCCTTCCCCAATTCCCCAGTAAAAATCTTTAAAAAAAATAATAATAATAACAAAAACATCCATTTTATATATGTATATGGCAGGGGATAGGGGGTGGCGAACAGGCTAGAACCAAAATCTTGGCTCACATAATAGCAGAGAACGTGGAAGGGGGACTGCTAGGAGCCAAGCTTTCTAGGGTCCTTGTTAGAGAGAAAATTAAAGGTATTGATTAACTTTTGACTTTAGTCTATACAGTTTAGTCTATATATGCAAATAGCCTTGGTAACTATTAAAAGGACAGCAGAGAGAGAATATGAATCTTCCAAAATGGTAGAGGGGAAAAGGAATTTTAAAAAGGGGGAAAAACTGCTAAATTATTTTAAAAGGCAAGAAGGTGGGACAAGAAGCAGAGGAAGATTTATAAAATGGGTTAAATAGAAAGTAAATAACAAGAGAGTAGCAATAAACCCAAATGCTTTAGTCTAGACTAGAGGTAAATGGACTAAACATTAGAATCAAAAGACCTCTGCTGTCAGAAGGGCATTTTTAGAAAATCAACCATTTACAAGAGACAGAGTTATCAGCAACATAAAGATACAAATAGATTGAAAGTTAAAGAATAGAAAAAGACATACCAGACAACTAGTAACCAAAATAAAGGGGTGTCACTTTCTATCAGTTATTGCTATCAGATAAAATCAATGTTTAAGCAAAATGTTTACATTAGTTTAAAAAGGTCTTCTTATAATGATAAAAACTTCAATTAAATGAGAAGACATAGAAGTTCTAAACCTGTATGTCCCTAATAGTATAGTCTCAAAGTACGTTATGCAAGAGTTTGATGGAACTATAAGGAGAAATTTTAAAATCCACGATCAAAATGGGAGATTTCAAAGCAACTCTCACAGTAGATGTTGGAAAATGTAGCCAAAAGGAAATCTGTGATATACAGAAAATTTGAGTAGTGCATGATATGGTTGCCATTTATTGAACTCTGTACACTTTCTTTGCATGCACAGAGAACAGTGAAGAAGTGGGCTAAAAATGATGGCCTCAACGAGTATCAAAGGATGGCGGCTGTTCAGACCACTTTTTCTGACTACAGAGCAATTTAGTTAGAAATCAATAACAAAAACATAACTAGGAAACTCAATATACTTGAAAATAATAATTTTTATAAACTTTTAAAGACCTCATGGGTCAAACAGGAAATGATGGTAGACATTCGAAAATGAGTAGAACTGAAAGAAAGAACACCAAAACCTATGGGAGTCCACAAAAATATTAACAGGAAATTTATATACTTAGAAAAGAAGAAACGGTGAGGATTTCTGAGCTAAGCATTTAATTTAAGAAGTTATATAAAGGGGGTGACCAGTTAGCTCAGTTAGTTGGAGCGTGGCGCTGGTAACACCAAGGTTGCCGATTCGATCCCCACATGGGCCACTGTGAGCTGCGCCCTCCCTAAAAGAGTCAAGTATGCCATTGCAGCATGAAAGCAATGAGTAACCAATGACCATGGCTGTTCCCCAATAAAATAAAATAAAAAGAAGTTATATAAAAAAGGAACATCAGAACAAACCTAAAGAAAACAGAAGGAAAGAAAGATATCAGCAGAAATTAATTAAATAGAAAACAAATACATAATAAATAAGATCAATAAAACTAACAAATGATTCTTTGATCAGTGTCTAATAGATTTTTCAAGAAAGATGAATACAGATGCATCAGACTTTAAATAGATAACAATAAAATATTGTGAACAGTTTTACGCCAGTAAAGTTGAACTCTTAGATGAAATGGATAAATTTCTAGTAAAATACAAATTAACACCTGCTCAAGAAGAAATAGAAAACCAGAATGCCCTTTATCCCTAAATAAAAATGATTAATAGTTTAAAATCTGACAAAGAAAACAGAGGCCCAATCAGCTTTTTAGATGACTGTTACCAAACTTTTAAGCATACAGATTATTCTCATATTATTGGAATAGCAGTAAAAAACAAAACAAAACAAAACCAAAAAACCCCACAGAGGCACTTCCTAACTCTGGTGAAAGGCACAACTATAAAATTTTAGAGAATATAGGAGCCTACCTCCATGACCAAAAGAAAAGGGAAGGATTTCTTAAATAAGACACAAAATGTGCTCCATTATAATGGAGAAAGCCACTGAAAATTCACCTATATTAAAGTGGAGAATTTAGATTGGTGCTATCATTTCAGAAACTACGTTGACATTACCTCATAGATTTAAATACACGCATATTCTTTGAAACTGAAATTTCACTGTTATGTATATACCCTTAAAAGACTTCAGTGCTGGGCCGGCTGAGTGGCATGTTGGTTAGGAGTTGGCTTGGGGCGCCAGCTCTGAGCAGCAGGGCTCGGGGTCAGATCCCATATACGAGGTCAGTGACGCTGCGCCCTCTACAGCTAAGATGGTGAACAACAGCTCAACCTAGAGCTGGGCTGCCGGGAGTCGCTGGCGATGGCGTAGGCTGCAGTGGGGATGGTCGGCAGCAGGCATGAGCTTTCATGAGCTACCATGAGCCCGCGACCGTCCAATGGCTGGTGAGTGACTGCCTCAACTGGGAAGAGCGCAATGATAATACCAACATGGGCCAGTGAAGCGAGGTCTTCCACAACTAGACTGAAGAACGAAAGGACAGCAACTTATCTGTTCCCCTTCCCCGATTCCTCAATAAAATCTTAAAAAAAAAAAAAAGACTTGAGTGCATCAGGATATACATATAAGAATGTGCATCAAAATAGTTCAAATCCCTAAAACCAGAAACAACCCAAATGTTAATCAAAGTAATTTATAAAGTGGCCTAATCTTGCAGTGGAATATTATACAGCAGTGAAAAGGAACTTACCACTACCACATGCACCCACCCACATGGGAGAGTATCAAAAGCATGTTGTAGACCTAAGAAGCAAATAAAAGAAGACTTCATACAGTATGGTTCAATTTACACAAAGCTCAAAACCAGGCAAAAGTAAAAGGACACTGGGATGATGCAGGTCCTATTTTGTTTATTGTAAATACACCTTTTTACGTTTTAATCTCTCTAAAATTGGGATGCACCTTATAATCAGTGGTGTCCTGCAATTACATTTCAAAGCCGCACTTTTTCCTTCTTAGACATGAAATAATGATGCATTGCACAATTGTTGGGGACTTAGGTTCAATAAAATACTGTAGGTAGATAATGGGGGGAAAAAACGATGAAGAAAAACAGAATGACCTACATAAAATGTGCGATCGTGATTACCTATGTCAGGGAGAGAGGGGCTAGGGAATGGAAGGGGCATCCAGGAGAATTCTAAAGTACTGGCAATGTGTTATTTTTTCCATCTAGACCGTGAGTGTGTTGGTGTTTAATTATTACTCTTTAAACCTTTAGACTCTCTCCTGTATGATTATTTTTCACACACACACAAAACAAAGTGTGAAGAGGTGAGGCAGTGGAGACCCAGGTATAATAACTCGGAGCTGGAGAGTGAAAGGAGGGGGCAGGCGGACACTGCAGCACAAGGCGGAGGTAATAAAGGGAAATACGTCCCGGCAAAGCTTGGAGGCAGCAGTCCATCACATGTGGAGAAAACAGGAGAGATACTTCCTCTGCTTTCACAAGCGGGACAAAGGGGAAGGCGGCTTTATGGAATTTGTGGTGGAATTCTGTGTGTGTTTTCCTTGTGATGGTTTCTAATATCTTTGTGAAGAATTCGTATGTGTGGTTAGGGTAGTTGTTGGGCCTGGCAGAGATGGACAGGTGGCCATGAGGGTAGGCATCTAAAATGATAAACATTTAGTCGACTGTTACTCCATGTCGGGTACTAGATAAAGAGCTTTTCACATCCATCATTCCGTTTCTTCTTCTCATCGAAGTGATGAGGTATGTATTCTCTCATGGTGCCTGGGTTAGTTCCCCAAAGTCACCATAAAAAGTACCACAGACTGCGGGGCTTACAGAATAGAAAATGGTTTTCTTGTAGTTCTGGAGGCTGGAAGCCCAAGATCAAGGTGCCAGCAGTGCTGGTTTCCCCTGAGGTGGCTCCCCTTGGCCTTGCAGGTGACACCAGTCCTACTTGATTAGGGTGCCACCCTAACAGCCTCCTTTTAACTTAATCGCCTCTTTAAAGACCCTTTATCCCAATACAGTCACACTCCGACAGAGGTACTGAGGGTTAGAGCTCAACATATGAATTTGAGGGGACGCGACAGCCCATAACAACGCCATAAGGAAATACAGATTTAGGAGGTTGAACAACTTGCTCAGGGCCGGCAGTTACAGTGTCAGAGCTGGCATGAAAATTCCAGCAGATCAATTACAGTGGCTGAATGCCAACCATTCCACTATAAAACAATCCTGCGCCTAGAAGACTGGAGATGAATAGGAGAGGTCTTTTGGAGAATTTAAAAAAAAGAAAGAAAGAAAGAAAAAGGGCTGACCAGAATAAGGGAGCAGCAATATTATCAGACTTTTCAGAGCCGTGCAATCTGTCCCAGGAAGTGGAAGGAGCTAAATACTCCACAGTCCCTAAGACAGACTATCCTCTACTAGGTTCCCTTTGTAAATCGGAGCTTCAAGCAGAAAGACTGTGAATTTTGGCCAAAATGGCAGGAAAGGTAAATGATTTAGCATCAGCTGGAATCCACTGTCCCTGCTAGCTTCCTTTTTCAGAGAAACCAGGTGTAAATTCTAGGCTGAGGAGGGCGACACCTGCTGGGCTAAGAAGGAACTGGGTGGGACCATGGCTGTTTTCAGGAGTAGACCCCCACTGCCCTCTGCTGGCCAGAAATAGGAACACTCCGGGATCTGCAGCTAGCCCTACTTCCTCCAGAAAACGTAGACCTATGGGGAAAGGTGGGAAGAATCTACTGGCATCAGCGAGGAGTACGTCAGTCCCACCCCTCTCCATACACATGCACACATTTCAAATCAATGGTACAGTCAGCTTACACTTTTTAGCATTCTGTGGCTGCAGAGATGTCTTAAAACTTGCTCCGCTGTTTTCATCATTAAAATAAAATAAACTTGATATGTCTGACACCTTCTCAAAAATGTTTCCCAAGATCCAAGAATATGAGCATTTGAACTCAAGTTTAGATGATTTAACAAAACACTGATTTGCTCATCAGTTCATGTTTTCAAAAATTGTAAACTCACTGTATACTTGGAAAGATTTTTTTTTCAACATTTTAAAATCATGATTTCCTATGTGATAGCCCAGGAACCCCACTATTTGGTTACAGTATTTTTGTAAAAATAATTGTTTTCATTTTCAAAGTGACTTCTCTTTTAAAAAAAAAATCAATAGTTCATGCTTTTAGAAATTTCACTGTTATATATTTGGGGGGAAAATTTCCAGGTAATAAAGGATTCTCTTGAATTGAGAAACATTAAATAAATGCCAGAAGAAACCACTGATCTCACCAGAACGCCCAGAATTCCTGGTAAACCTGCTGTACAGGATAGGTGGCCTTGGGGCCTGAGAAAAATTCAAAATATGGGGCTCAAGAGCACCTTTCCTGTCCCCTACCCCTCATGAGCCCCAGGCCCTCTTTATGCAGACACCAGAATGGGCAGTTAAAATGCAAATCAGATCCTGACACCGGGAGAGGCTAAAAGCCACACCTTTGATTTTAGAATAAAATACAAATTCCTTACCAGCTTTCCATGGCCACGTGATCTGACTGATGGGGGGGGGGTGTCCCCTCCAAGTCTGCACTGACTGGCTCCCTGTCCTTCCCCTTCAGCTGTTGGCATGTTCCTCCTTCAAGGATCTCTCTGTGGCTCTATTTCAATATTCTGTTTATTTCCTTCAGGGCACTTGCTACAATTGGTAATAATTGCGTTTATTTATCTGTTGTTCATTTCCTGTCTCCACCATTAGGCATCATGCATCAGGTAAGCCTTGTCCCTCTTGCTCTTTGTTGCATTCCCAGTGCCTAAGGAGCATATATTTATCAATGAATGAGTGAAGGAATGAAGTGAGCAAAGCGAGGTGTTGAGACGGGAATGACACCCAAGTCATTCTGTGCAGGTCACAGTACTGAGTTCACTCATAGATATAAGGCAGTCCCAGCCCTGCTCCACCTCATGGGAAGCGGCTGAGACGAAGGTGGCAGACAGAGCTGCACTTTCATCTTAGACTGACACTAGCCATCAAAACCACTTCCTCTACTTAGAGAACACCAGGGATGCCACCACAACCACAGCCTGGAGCCACCGCTTAGGAGAGCTGGAGAGCACTGAGGGCTACACAGGCGGGCTAAGCCATCGGACGGAATCGTTTAATCGTCGGGAAGTACTGATCCAGGATGCAAGCGCTGGCCACTAACCCAGTGAGGAACATTGCAAACCCAATGCCTTCTCCTGGAAAGGGCCCCCCCCCAGCACAGTCCTACAGGTTCACAGCCCTGCCCTCGGAGGCATGGTAACAGCCCATTTTACAAACGGAAAACTAACAAGCCCATGGGCAGCGGGCTGGAGAGCCACTGCTGGGCAGCAGGCTGACGCCTGGCCTTCCAGAGCTCCTATCTCCATCCTCATCTGACTATCATCAGCACCTGAGTAAGGGAACATAAATTCACAACTGTCATCGGTGTAGGATCTGTGGTTTGGGGAGGCTTGATGAGAACTGTCCCCAAGAGAGGTAGCTAGCGAGGGCTGAAATGCTTGCGTGGCTCCACAGCGGCCTAGGCCAGACATCGGAGGGCACAGTCTTTCCCTCTTGAGTGCTACTGGGCCGAGGTACATTCCTCTGCCGTACGTAGCTTCTCTCCTGAGCATCTGACTGGAACGATCCACAGAGGTGAAGCCAGAATGAAATGTCCACGAGTCCCCAGGCTGGCACAGCCTCAGGGAAGGTCCCTCTGGGGGTCCTTCAGGAAGAGGGCCAGTTTCTGGGCCACAGCGTCCAGTTCACCTGAGTCGGCAAACCGGAGCAGGTTGCTCTTCGGCACGAAGAAGTGTTTCAGCAAGCGCTGGCTCACACACTTGTGCAGCTTCCTCACCAGGCGCAGGAACCCTTTGCTGAAGACCTGCCAGTCCTTGAGGTGAGGGTGCTTCTCACAAGTCCAAAAGAGCACCGTCTGTGGAAAGAGGAGGTGGTGTCAGAACAGACATCGTGCCGCACAATGGAGGGAAGTGCCTTCAGAAACACCCCTGAGTTCCCGCGGCCTTGGAGGAGGCACAGAGGTTCTGCCCTGAATTCATGACGCCCGCCAAGGGCTCTCAGCCTTGCCCTGCGGGTCTCCTGTGCGTCTCTGTTCATTTCCTCACTCTTCACTGACATTTCCCATCATCCCATCCCACCCGCACATGCTTTTGCCTCCAACTTGACAGGAAAATGGAAACCCTCACGCCCGCAGACCAGACAGTCCTGCCGACATCAGGATTCTCCTCTCTTCTGAGCTGTGTCTGCCACTCCTCCTAGCTGGGCAAATCCCTCCCTCCTTCCAGGAACTGTATTTCCCTTCCTCGCTGGCTTTTAAGCCCCTTCAAAGCTCTTCTGCCCTCCCATTCCACTTCTCCCTCCTGCCCCAACTCTCACCTCTGCCAATCCAGGTCTCGCCAAAGAATCCTCTCAGCTCTTTGTCCTCATGCCCACTCCCCACTTCCCTGCCTCCAGGATGGATTCTCCTGCCATCAGTCCTGAAAGTTGCTCTCCTAAGGTCCAGTGGTGTCCATGTTGCGAAACCCAGCAGGCCTTGTCCAGCCCCTTACCTGGCCTTTCAGTGGAATCTGATTCTCTCATCCCTACCCTCTGTCTTGAGCCATTTTTCACTTGGCTTCTAACAAGCCATACTGTCTGGGTTTCTCCCAGGACTGCAGCTACTCTTTAATAGGCTTCTCTTCCTTTACCTGCCTTTAAACTTTGAAAGAGTTTGTCAACTCTAGGCCCTCTTCTCTTTCTCTATCTTCCTTTCCCAACAGTGGCTTTCATTCCTACTATTGGGTTGTCGGAAAAGTCATGACACATTTTTACAACGAAAAACATAGAAAAACTACGTCATGACTTTTCCAACAACCCAATAGATACAGGGGATTTGGCATTCTCTTTCCCCAGCCCAGACTTCTCTCCACTGACTGCCTTACCTGGTATTTCTTGAAAAACTTGAAAGTCATCTCAGTCAACATGTCCACACTAAACTCATACACAACCTTCCCCCACAAACCTGGGCTGCCTTCCGAGTTGCTTAGCCAGCCAACTGGTAAGACACAAACCTAGGCGTCACCCCCTCCCTCGCCATTCCCAGTCAAGCCAATCCTCCCGCCTGAATACGTCTCAAATCTGCCCACTTCTCTTCATCTCCAATATTACCATCCTCTTCTCCCCCGGACCTCTGCAGTAGCTGTCTAACCAGTCTGCCCCTAATTCTTGTCACCATGAAATCTGTCACCAGCCACACTGCAGCCAATGTGATCTTTTTGAAATATAAATCTGTGTTTCTTCTTATCTAAAATACTTCCAAGTCTTCCCATTGTTTGTTAATTAAAAATACAAACCTTAATATAGTTTGCTTTGCAACGTTTGGCCCCCACCGTCCTTCTCAGCCTCACCTTGCCCTGTGTTTACTGCTGGCTGCTCCTTCTGGCCACACCAGCCTGGTTTCATGTTCTCTTCTGTCACAGGGTCTCTCACCTCCTACTTCTTCCACATGGAGCACACTTCCTCCCTCTCTTTGTCCAGGAAACTCATTCATCAGGTCAAATTTCCTTAATACACCCATTAAACATCCTCTTTGTCATATATTTCTCGTAAGCAGCAATGATCACAGTAGTAATCATTTTTATATTTACTATGTAATCCCTACTAGATTGTAAACTCTGTGAGCACAGGGTTTTTATTCACAGGGTTTTTATGTCACTAGCACCCAGCAGAGGGACTGGCCCATCGGAGGCAGTCAATGAACGTTTATTGACTAAGTGAAATAATGTACTAACTAATGTTATGGTTTAGATGTTGAATATTTTAAAACATAGTCTTTCCAGAAAAGTAAAAGAACAGCTTTAGGTTCAGAGCAAGGTTTTGAACATGTTTCGATTGAATTTATGTTGTTTTGAGTGAGTTGGAGATAATTTCATGATAGTCAAGATTACCTAGATACAAAAATTATATATATAATATATATATATATATATATACACACACACACACACACACACACACACACACACACATATATATATATATATATATATATATATATATATATATATATTGGGTTGTAGGAAAAGTGATGACGTATTTTTCTATGTTTTTCATTGCAAAAATACGTCATGACTTTTCTGACAACCCAACATATATGTTTGTGTGTGTGTGAGTGTGTGTGTGTGTGTGTGTGTGTGTGTGTGTGTGTGTAAAAATTCCTCTTGTAGCTAAGCTTTTATCTCCCTAGGCAAACTGAAACAGTTAAGCCTATTATCATCAAGACTCTGTGCCTTTGAGTGGGTTGTAGAATAAGCCAATGAGAGATAAACTCTTTCTTCACACAAAACCACCTTAGAGAAGAGCCTCTTTGGGGAGGAGGTGAGGACTTCCTAGGACTGTGTCAGATGTAAGGTGAGGTGACCATGCCTGGCTGTTGTGCAGCCCAATCTCTTCCACTTTTCCCAGACGAAAGCCTTGGAATGGTCCTACACACTCAAGCCATCATCTGGGATAGCACCACATTGTCACCGGCCACGTCCTTCCCAACGCCTAAATGTGAGAGAACCCTGCCCATTGACCAAGGGTGGACTGATGAAAAGGTAGTGAGTCCTGTTTCTATTGGTCCACCCTTCTCAACAAACAGCCCCCTTTAAATGCCCACTCTTGAGAATGCACAATTTTATTGTGCCATGTAGGTGGCTTAGGGAGGACTGAAACAGAGGACCTTTAAGGAGTTGCCCTAAAATCTTCTAGATCAGCGGTTCTCAACTTGTGGGTCGCGACCCCTTTGGGGGTCGAACGACCCTTTCACAGGGGTCGCCGGGTACTCGTATGTGGGCGTATCTGCATGTGGGCCTGGAAACGGCTAGAGGAGTGGTGTCTCGGTTCCTAAGACCATCGAAAATACGTGTTTTCCGATGGTCTTAGGCGACCCCTGTGAAGATTGAGAACCGCTGCTCTAGATGATTTAGAGGCAGCTGGAATGAAAGGGAATCATGGGTGGAATGCAGTTTTGACAGCAGTCACGGGCTGGGAGGCCCATGGTGGCCCTACTCAATCTTGCCTAAAATATCCATGCCACTTAAAGTGTGTCATCCATCTTAATTGTGAAGCAAATGACACCCGTGGTTAGGTTATAGAGTTTTGATGTGAGACAGCCTTGAGTTTGCTTCTCAGCTCTAACTCTTCCTAGTGTGGTGTGTAGAAAGGCAAGCAGGAAAGTCGCTAAATCCACCAAATGAATTACACTGTCTTCAGCAAGCCCATCCCTCAGTCCAGAACAGGTAGGTGTCTGTTTTTTAAGGGGAATGTGCCTGGGGACATGTTAAGAATGTTGAAACTCCAGAGTAAAGCCCCAGTATGTGCAAATGAGATATTATCAGATTCTTGGGCAGGCCCGGAAAGACAGATTATCAGAAAAGATAAGAAGGCAAAGACTAGTGATTTTATGGGGGGAGGAGGGGAGTTGAATAAGATGTGAAATCATTCATTCAGTCAACAAATACTTGCTGAGCAACTACTGTGTCCAAAGCACTGGGAGAAATAGTGCAGGTTCAGTAATGGATAGGAGCAACACGGTACTTGCTCTCAAGTAGAGCTGAAAGCGTAACACACAACTGGAAAATGGTTGTCCATTGAATGAGAGGGGGCACAAGTAGTAGAATGCAAGGAAGGCACCACACAGACAGGTGAGCCCCTCTTTCCCCCCTCCCACCTGCGCTCACCTGCGCAGAAGGTCAGAGAGAGGGGCCAACGCTGCAGACGGACACTGGCTAGCCTGGGGCTGTGCTGTCCCAACCCCAGTGCGCTGCACACAATGTTACGTGAGAGTCAGTCCACCACGTGTGGTGGGAGACTTGAGAAAGCAGAGCTGTGAGTGTGATCAAAGGCCCTCCCAGGGGGAGGCCCCTGAACCCTCAGTCCAGGTTAGTCAGGTTCTGCTGCTCTGAGCCCTCACAGAGCAACGTTCTTCTTCTCCCCAGTGCTCCCTGCATTGTGTGATTCCTCACACACCCGCAGGACTGTTTAACCAAGGTCTGTCTCCCCCGCTAGACCATAAGCTCCATGACAACAGGACTTACATCTATGTTTGTTCACCATGTACCTCCAGGTGAAGAGCAGGTGAGGCACGGGGGGCAGGGGAGGGGGGCAGGGGTCTGGCCTATAATTATCTCCACAAACATTTGCTGAGTCAGTGAGTGAGAGAGTGAGTGCATTTGGGAAAGTGTAATGTTGGGTTTGGGCAAAAGGAGGCAGGTGCTGGCAGAGCGAGGGAAAAGCCACGCCCGATGATTTGGAACCCGGAAGTTTGGGTTTGCAGCAACATTCCCGTGCTAATCAACATTTTCTGGTCCCCTCCACTGTGTGGAGCCTGTGTGTGTATGTGTGTGCATGAGTGGCTGTGCTTGGGTTAGAGTGGGGACTGAGGGAATCAAAACATGAGGGAAACATGAATTTAGCTGAGGTTTGAGCAACTCGCAAGGTTTCACCAGACTGTAGATTTCTCAAGGGCAGAGACCCCATGTTGTAATTCATTTCTAAACCTCAGCAAGGTTTCTGGCACGTGGTGGGTACTCGTGCTGGTCTGTTGAGTGAAATAAAAGGAGGGGAGAGACAGACAGTGACAGAGAAGAAAAAGAAGGAAAGACAGAAGAAAAGGGAGAGGGAAGAGGAAAGGGGAAGGGAGGGAGGCGAAGGCGATTTCACCTGGCCAGGGTGCTGTGGACACACACACAGCGCGGCCTTGTCTACCTCCATGAGGAATAATTTGTGGGATGGAAAACATGGACGCTAGAACCCCATCCTGAACTCGTCTCACACACACACACACACACACACACACACACACACACACACACCAGGCCCGACAGATGATGCAGAGGGGACCTACCCAACCCCAGCCGCTCTGGGCCATCTACTGCCGCTGGCCCGCCCACTCACCTGCAGATGGTGGGACGTGATAACAGGCCTCATCCCTGGACACCAGACTTCCTCCTTCATCTGCCTCATGACCTGGAAACACTTCCTTCGGCAGCCCCCGTCTTCGTCCAGCTGCTCCAGCAGCATCTGCTCGGCCTGCCTGAAGCTCAGCTGCCAGTGGTAACTTGACCGGGCCAACAAGGTAAATCCAAATGACTGGGAGAAGAGAAACCTCGTGGGAAAGTGGGAAGGGTGACGCCTGCCCAAGTAGAAAACCGTCTCCAAAGCCATCCACTAGTCTGGGGGACCAGCCCCAGGGCAGGCAGTACCTCCTACACGGGGACCCAGAGGGAGACTCAAGACGATTAATTGGAGAGGCTGTGTCCACTTTCTCTCCGGCAGTGGTTCTCCAACTTGAGCCCGACCAGAATCACCTGGAGGGCTTGTTAAACCACAGACCGCTGGGCCCCGCCCGCAGAGCCTTATGCCGTAGGTCCGGAGTGGGGCCTGGGAATCTGCATTTCTAACAGGTTCTCAGGTGCCACTGCCGGTTCTGGGGCCCACACTTTGAGAACCGCCGATCTAGCGAAACCTCAGTTTTCCTTCCGAAGCTGGGTAGCAGTCAGTAATGTTGCGGTTAGTTAAGCTGTGAGCACCTGAGCCCTGGCGAGCTGGGGCCCCGTCCACCAGTACCTTGATGCACCCCACTCTCTCTGGCAAAGGCCAGCGCGTCAGACACCGAGGCCACTGAGCTTTCTGGGACCAGACGTTGGGGATCTCCACTGCAGGGGCCAGCTCTAGTTCCACCTGACTTTGGGATGTTTCCACGGCAACCCGAACTGCAATGCTGTTTGTTAGCATGCTGACCTTTCCTGGTGGGAAATGAATAGGCAATGAGGAGAGAAAGCTGTCTCAGTACTCAGAGAAGGAATCTCTGACCAGCTCCCTGCAACCGGTGGGGCAACGTTCACAGTGTCAGGAGCATGCCAAGGGCGGTGTTTACAGCAAAACTAGACAATCAGCCGAGTAAATATTGATAGGAACATTGCGACAGAAATCTCATGGTTGGTGGGTTTTTCTTTTTTCTTTCCCCTCCCTGCCCCAAAACTTTTATGCTACCTCTTCTTTTAAATTAATAGATTCTTTTCAGAAGGCTCACTGAAGGAAAGAGACACTGAATACAAAGAAAAAGTGTAGTATGTTCTACTGTAACGTGAAATCCAACCATTATTCTATATCGCCCTCATTCCACCCAGGGGTCCTGACCTTGTTAAGGGTAGCCTTGGTCCGCGTACTTATTCGCCTGCTGTTGGTGGCATTTGGTTTAATCCGTCTCCTATCTGAGTCACAGGCCCTCAGATGGTATTTGGTCCCAAAACCCATGAAGCCAGCCTCGCCTCAGATGTACATATCATCATAAGCCCTTGTAATCATAAAATACTTCAAAGTGTGGCATTGCCACTGGCTTAAAGAGCAGAGTGAGCAGAAAGAAGCCCTGACATCCTCATTTTCCAATCAGGCAACAAGAGGGAGAGAAAGTTTTACAACTCATCTACCAAAATCCATGTCTAGCCTGTTCCCTCTTCTTTCAAAAGCTACACAGGAGTTTTTTATTTGTTCGCTTTCATGACAGATAAGGATGAGCCCTCTTGCATCAGGATCTATGATTTTGCTTTTCCTTGCTCCGAGAAGAAAACAGAAGCACCTTCATTAATTGTGTGAGGCTGTTCAAAAGGTAAACAGCCTTCTCCTGGGCTGGGGTGTGATAAAGAGCTTACTGTCTGCATCTCATCAGAGCTGCCCAGACAGGAACATGCCGACATCTGACACTACGGCATTATTTACTGAAAGCGCCTCATCAGCCTGGCCCATCTGAATCTCTTCTATGCATTTTCACTGCTGACAGTGTCACAAAGGGGAGAGGTGAGCAAAAGCTGGAACCCGCCTGCCTGGCCCACACCCTGCTCATTCTGCTTACTTAGTGTGTGACCTTTTGGCACGTTACTTAATCTCTCTAAATCTCAGTGCTTCTTCATCTGTAAAACAGGTAGAAAAAAATAATTCTTACTCTATAACGTTGCTATGAGTATTAAACTAAAGAATCCATGAAAGCACCCTATACATGGTAACAATCCATTAAACATGAGCTATTTCCATGATGGCACCTTTCTGAATTTCTGTCTAGACAGGGAAATGTACGTAGAAATCCTTTACTTTCTGCACAAATGGCATCATGTATTGTTTGGCAGTTCCGTTGTTCACTTAATTATCTAGCACAGGCATTTTTCCTAACCCTGTGTATGTGTGTACACACATACCTCTTTCTTTTTAAAGGCCTCCACGTGGCAGAGGTAGCATAATTTATTTAGTCAACTTTCCTTTGTTAGCCACTTATATTATTTCTGGTTATTTGCTATTACAAAGCCTATGGTGGCATATATCCTTGTGTATATTTCTTTGTGCATCTGTAGGAATATATTTCTAGAAACCACAATTGCTGATTTACCAAGTAAGCATGTTACAAAACAAAACTGGAGAAATTGCCCTTTAAAAAGTAGGTACCCATTTCCAGGTCCTTGAACAATGTATGAAGGTGTATTTTACCATACCCATCCCTCTACTGAGTATGATCACATTTTTTCATTTTTGTCAACCTGTTAGGTGTTTTAATGTACACTTCTCAAAATAGTGTTAAATGGAACATTTAAAAAAAAAATCTTCCTAGCCATTTATATTCTTTTTCCATGAGTCATGCTTCTTGGTCATTATTTCTGTTGGTCTGCTCGTATATTTCCTTACTGGTTTGTAAGTATTCTTATGTAATAAAGGAAACTAACCATTTTGTCCCCAGTTTGGAATTCACCTTATACTCTGTGTGAACAAAATGTGTGTGTGCACACGTGTGCACGTATGACACACTGCACTGTAACTTAAGATTTGGGGGTTGTCAAACTTAAGCAGTTCTTCATGGTGTCTGGATTTTATGTTTTGGTTTAAGTCAGCGGTTTGCAGATGCGCTGTCTCCACACACTGGGTCCTACAGTCCAGGGCGTTATAACAGAAATGCGATACCCACAAAGATCTGAGGTTTATGAGTAATTTGCTTTTTTTAAAAGGTACCAAAGTTCTTAAGCTAACATCTTGGAAAGGGTGCGAAACCCAAAGTCCGCCATATCAGTGCCAAGGCAGTAATCTGCTCCAACCCACAGGGGTGAGCTTTGACTCTGAGCTCCATTCTTCCATGTGTCACAGTAGAAAAAAAGAGGGATTGGACAGATGTAAGAGCACGTGATTATGTTCTCAGTTAAGGGGCATGAGCTTCAGGTCACACCCAAGCAGAGGATTTTTAGAGCAAAAGGGAAATGCCAGAAATGCCCCTTGTATTTTTCTCGATCAGCTCACCTGACAGGTGACAGGTTTCGATCGCGTTTTCTACCAGTTTCTGGAACACATGGAGGACCTTGGCGGGCACGATGTCCCCTTCGATGTTCACGTCTGCCTCGTGCCACTGCCACAGGCTTTTCAGAAACTGCTGCATGCACAGCCACTGCTGCAGGCCCTCGGGCTCCCTCAGGGGGCACAGCAGCCTGGCGCCCCCCAGGGTGTAGTACCTCCAGTGCTGTTCCCTGGCCTCTCTGTACCCTGCCAGGCCTCTCAGCGGGACTGTGACAAGGAACTGGCTAGGGGCCAAAACCTGGGGACAGGAAAGGAGAGAGGATGAGCGTGAGTTCCCAGACATGGGAGATAACAATTAGTCCTCAGGGAGTCGACCTGTTGAGCCAGGCAGCTCGGTGAAGCACTTAACCCCCAGCAATGTGACGAGGTGGGCAGAAAACCGCACCTGCCTGAGAACCCATCTTTGTTCTGCCACTAACCCACTGCAATGCTTTGGGCGGTCAATCAATCCACTGAGTCTTGGTTTCTGGAATCTGTAAGGAAGAAGAGTGAGCTAGACCTGGAACTTGAGTGGGCACCCGATGTGGAAGGGGAGAAGAAAACGCAGTAAAAGGAACTAGTATCCGTTGAGTTCCTCACATACAAGCAAACGCTACAGTTCTTGTATTAGCCCGTTTGATCTTCACAGTCATATAATAAGGTGGGCTTTGCTGACATGTCCCAGGTGAGAAACCTAAGGCTCAGGGTGCTCTGCTATCTCCCAAGCATGTGATAGACCCAGAACTTGATTGCTTGTTCAATGGTTGTTTTTCTATCCTGGGGTGGTTCTCAGTCAAGAATTAATAACTTGGTATGGGTGAAAGGTCTGGTATTAATAAAGGGTGAGAAGGGATGGAAGAAGAGGTGAAAAAATTCTGCAAATGCCTCCCATTTTTTTTTTTTACCTGTACTGATAACCTCTGGCCATTATTGATGACTAATCCTTAGAAAATCACAGGTAAAATGAATGCCTGTTTGTTGAGACAATGTGAGCAATTGAGATTATTCTAAGTTTAATGAGAAAAGGGAACAACCAAAGTCTACCTACTCCCTTGCTACCGGAACCAGTTAAACAGTGGTCAGGGTGAAAGTGGTCAGGCCAATAGTTTAAGGAGTAGAAGAAATGAATCAATAGTATATATAGTATCACCAAAGGGACCTGACCTTTAACCACATCACATGGCAGCTCACTCTACACTGCACCTTTCCCATCTGTCAGCTGTACACTGGAAGAGCCACTTCTTTGTCACAGAGAGCTCTGACAATAGAATTTGGTCAATCTTTGCCGAGGGCCTAGTCACTGGCCAATTCACGGATGAACACTGAAAACAGCAACCCCTGATTCTGCCTCATTTTCAGAGAATGATATTTGATGCTTTAGATGATGAGTTCACATAACTTCTGGTATCCACAGAAAGGTGGTGGGATTAAAAAGGGGGTGGAAATCGAAACCACAATGTTCAAAATCTATACATCCTTGAAACCCACTTACATGTGAATCCAAGAGCACAGCTGTCATGTTGCTAGTGATATACAAATGGTGCTTAATAAATACTTGTTGAAGTTGGGCTAAGATAAAATAAAACCAATTTTCATGTGCCCCACTGCAACTCTTTTCAAAACTTTATATGCAGGACATGATATATTTATATAAATGCATGATATATTTTAAACTGTGAATTCTAAGACCCAGAGGAAATTTCCTCTGATATAGTCCTAGGAAAAGTGATGTTATGTTTCTATTCCTAGTCACTTGGTCTATTTTTGTGTAATTTAGGTTGGCCTGGGTGGTAGAGGTGGGCACGTGAATAAAGGGTGGAGAGGGATGGGAGAAATTCACCCTGGGATGAATTCCCTAAGATCTGACTGTTTCAAAATGCCCAAGTCCCAGAATCCTGTGAGTGGTGCCTGTTTCCACCAATCCTGATGATCTTTTGTTCATACACTAATTCTTTTGCTCATTCATTCATTCAACAGAAGTTGAGTGTCTGCTGGAGGCCACGCACCAGGCTGGGTGCTAGAAATGGAGGAACCAATAAATATGACCCTTATAGTCAAGGAACTTACAGTCTAGTGTGAGAAATAGGGCATGAATATGTACAAGTTTAATACCAGTGAAAGGGGTTCTTAAGTGTCATAAGAAAGATTGAGACAAAGGAGCCCCGGGATCCAGAATAATCCATAGCTTCACTTCTCTAATCTCTAAAAGGGGAGCCATCACGTTCATCCCACAAGGTTGTTGCAGGTTTGAGTGGGATCATTCCTGTGGGGACAGCTTTGTCCATACCACAAGGTTGCATGCATGTCGGTTGTCACACAATGGCCCTGGCGGCTCATAATTCTGAGGGATTCCTCACCAGGGATGGCGGTTACAAGGCTGCTTCTGCAGATTCTAAGGGCCTCCTCTTCTACCTTCTTCCTTCTCCTTCCTGCAACCCATAGACGATTGCTTTCAACTATTTTCTCAGCAATGTCCTGAGTCCCCTCTGCCCATCCCCCAATCTATTAAGTAGCTGCTTAATCATCTGAAAGTTAATTGTTATATTGACATGTGCTTTGGAATCAGAAGCCCCAGTTCGAATTCTGGCTTCAATGCCTAATATGACTGATCAAGTCATTTGATCTCTCTAAGCCCCAGTTTTTATCATCTGGGAAGTAGGAATGTGGGGGCTCAGCTGAGATAATGGCTAAGCAGTGAGTTTGGGAATGGTGAATGCTAAGGGTACCTATGGAAACAGGAAGTAGTATTAGTATTCTTAGTGGTGTGAGTGCCTATCACATACAGAGTCCCGCCCACTCCAGTTCCCGGGTTTTCCGGGTGGGCACCTGGAGACAAGCGAGACCCGCTCACCTTAATGTTTCCATTGTATGTGAAAGAGTAAGGGATGGCTTGAAATCGGATATCTTGGTGGCTGATTTCTGTGGTCAGACGGCAGACAACTTTCTGCACCTCCTCCACAGTCTGGGAAATCCGCTGGCGTCTTAAGTCCACCTGGGTGGGAAGGGAGTAGCAAAGACGGTTATATCTGGTGCAGGCCCCAAGGCACTGACATAAGGAAGTGATGGGACAGGGCACAGTGGTGGGTGACCACAGTAGTGCAGCCCCCAAATTCCCGCCTTCCCAAGAACTCCAGGGGAGATGCTAGGTCTGAGGGTACTTCTCGGTGCCTCCGTGTTCTGTTGTAAAATAGAAGCATCCATTCAATGCTTGTCTAGTACCTACCATGTGGTAGGTGCCCATCTGGGTGCTGGGCACAGCAGTGAACAAGATAATAGCAAACAAGATAGAGACATTTGCCCTCTCATTGAAAATACAGGATATGGGTATATCTGTGTACATATGTACACACACATATACACATGTATACATATACATATGTGTGTATATATACATGTGTATAATGTAATATCTGGTATGATAACGTCTATGAAGAAAAGTAAAATAGGATAAGGAATTAGAGAATAAAGGGGCTGCTATGTTGGATCAGATGTCCAGGGAAGGTTTCTCGAAGGAGGTGACATTTGAGTGGCCCCTGATCACAGCTTGGCCCCGAAAGCAGGAGCGTGCTTGGCAGAGCTCGAGGGGGGGGGGGGGGGGGGGGGGGGGGGCACTATGTGGTAGAGCCTGGAAAAGGAAAAGGAGGGTGATAGGGGATAAGTCTGGAAAGGAGGGGCCAGACCATCATGAAGGGTTTTGTCAAGTGTGGTGAGACTATAAAATGGGACTGTGAGGCCTGCTGTCCAGGTTGGTGACAGCCATCAGTTTAACGCGTGAAGACAGGCAGCAGGCTGTTTCCTGCTTATGTTGTCCATGAATGATGGTCCCCTTCTCCTCTGTCCACACCCTCCTCTCGCTACTAGACCTGTAAGGAAGGGCACGCACATTTCTCCTGACTCTGCACAGCAGGTCCCTGAGAACTGGAAAATACCCACAGAAAATCGAACGCTAAAAAGTATATACCTTAAGAGATCATTCAGGTTTAGGGAAACATATGTTCATGGGAAACAGAAAGGAACTTTTAGTAAATTCCGGGAGAGACAGAAAAATCCAAGAGTTTTGGTTGGGAAGAGTCTGTACGTTTTTTTCTGAAATGGGAGGGCTCTTTGTTATGTTGCTGAGGAGGCACGTGCAGGCTGCTGCCATCGCAGGCGCCTCCCTTAGAGAGACACTCCTGAGTCCAGCCAGGAACTGACTAAAAGTATCAAAAGGCATCTAAATACACCTAAATGCAATAGCCATCCAAGAACCTTGTATTTCTTCTGAGTTTTGGATAATGGCTGTTCCTGTACATTCTAGAGTAGTTTTCAACACCATAAAATGGTCAAGGAAAAAAAAAATGGCCAAGTCAAAAACATTTCTGTTTTTCTAAACTAGTCCAGTCACCAGAGACCTCACCCCTCCCACAACCAACAGGCCAACTGCATATGGACACAGAACATAAATATGCACGTGTGTCTATTTGCACACGTGCTGTGCGCCACATGCAGAGTCGGTTCATCAATAAGTATTTATTGAGCACCTGCTGTATCCCAGGCACTCTGTTACATGTCAGGGCGCAGCAACAGTAATACATAGCCATGCACTTAAAGTAGTGAAGACAAGCGTAAGTAGAGAGCATAAGTGTGGGGGCCACGATAGCAGAGTATGGGGTGCCACCAGGCACAATGGAACAGTGGCCTCGTCTGCAGTCCGAGAGATGTACATGCGCATTACCCCCCCCCTCCCCAGAGGACTGTCTTGAATAAACTAATTACTGACACACTCAAGATGTGCAGGAATAATGGGAAACATAAGATGAGGTCTCTGATCTTAACAAGCTTACTACAAGCTCATTGGAAATATATGATATACATGAAATTGTGTCTTCAAAATCCACGTGTCTTGTCTGACCTTAACTGTGATGATTATGTCTATACTCGCTTTCAATGACTTCTTTTTGCCCCCAGCAGCCATTCATCCCTCTCTGTACGTTCATCCAAAGGTACCTTTCTTGAGCATTTGCAAGCTATCAAGATCTGCACCCTCCAGAGTGTGCCAATGGAAGACAGAAGGTGATCACAGAGGGGCAGATCATTCACCATGCCCAAAATGAAGGAAAATATTTTAGAAACCTGTGGTGAAGGGTCATCTCCAGTGTAGGACTTCTACGTGTTGTGATTCCACTCTACTTGGCCAATTTTTGTTGAATATCGACAGGTTCTGTGCACCCATGTTGTCAAGAGGTTTACAGATGAAATCACAAAGTGAGACAAATAAACTGGAAGCTCAAATCACAGCAATCTAGTCCTAGATGAAGGTTTGCATGGAATGCTCTGGTTACACACAGAAGGGAAACTTCATGTCATTTGGTGGTTGGGGGACCGTTTCTGGAGACGTGGAGTATCGGAGTTGTATCTTGAAAGATGAGTAGGAGTTAGCTAGAAAGAGAAGGCCATGAAGGCTGTTCTAGAAAGAGAACATGGCGTGAGGAGCACAGGGGGAACACTGCAATTGTTCCTATGTTGTTGGAGCAGAGATTGCCTTGGAGGAGGATGGTAAGGTGGGGAAATAAATAGTGAGAGGTCTTGAAAATAAAGGAAGAAGAATTTTGAGAACAAAGTCTACAGTAAGTGGCTGAGGAAGACAAGGCCTGAAAAATGTCCATGGAGTTTGGCAACTCCGACAGGCTCAAGGTGTTCAGAGAAGTGCCGGGCATGACGCCAGACAGAAGTGGGTTAGGAGGCAACAGGAGAGGAGCAAGTGAAGACAGCGGTAAGCCGTTGAACCTCCAGGAAGTTTGGCTAAGGAAGGAAAAACAAACAACACCACCAGGTTTTTGTTTTTTTTTCAAAATGACACACAGGTTTGAACATGTTTAAATGTTGAGTGGCAACAGGGAGCAGAACCACTGTGGAAGGGTTTCCCGGCCAGACAGAGTTGTGCAAACCCGGAAACCTGGTGAGGGATTCACGTTGGGAGTCAGAAAGCAAGAAAAAGCAGGGAATGGTGGGAATCTAAGAGATTTCCTGTCTGATGTCTATTTTCTTTACAGAGCAGGAGACAAGGCAGTGTGCTGAAAGCGAGCTGGAGGGGTAGAAAGTAGGGGTTTTCAGGGTGCCAGACGGGAAATAGCTTCTCTGAGGAACGAGGAGCTGTCTGGGCATGTGGGTAAGACTGCCAGGCAGTGCCAAGGCAGCTGTGGCTGGGTCCGTGATGCTGTGGGATACCGGTGGGCTCAGTTCTCAGATATTCTCCAGCACCACAGGTAACAGTTGAGGTGCTAAGGTTCGCATTTGCTGGGCAAGAGCTGGAGAAGGATTAAAGAGCAAGGGAGGGTCTCAGTGGTGGGCCATGTTTACCAGCCTGGGCAGAGGATGGACAGAGCCAGTTTAAGTCTGATTAGAATAGTGGGGACAAGTAAATGAGGGCTAACTTAATAGAACATTGCAGTCAGAGTGGTTGGGAAATAGTATTCTCAAATAGTTCTCATAGGGCTTTGAGGACTGAGATTAACCCCCCAAAACCTCCCAAGCCCACTGTTGTGTGTCTCAGCACTGAAATGTTAGTAACACAGCTGTGACTCTATATATGCATTATGTTTTGTTTCCCAAGTTAATAAGCTAAGAAAGATTCATCACCATATTGACACTGTGAGATAATGTTTAACTGATAAAAGCTTGCATGTGTGTGTGTATGAGTGTGTGTGTGTGTACATTTACACACCACACAATGACTAGCCCACTACAAAAAGTTCTCCACTGTGAATCTCTTCTACAAATTATGCCTTCATTCGGTGGTGGAATTTTCTTACTGGGCAGGACAAGTTCACGCACTCCTTAGAAGATACCTATACGCTCTCGCCCATTTGGATTCCTGAGGGTTGAAAGTCAGAATAAGGGAATAGTTTTCTGAGCCATGAGCCACACATCCTGGTTTTGATTTTCTCCAACCATCACTTCTGTTGCAATTTAGGCTCAGGATCTTAGAATTGGAAGCAGCCTCAGAAATCACATTGCCTGGTGTCACTTTTCAGGCAGGGTAATAAGGTGGCTCCCTCATCTCACATTGGTAGTCAGCAGGACTAGACCTAATGCCCAAGGTTCCCCGACTCCTTTTCCTGTCACACTGTGGCACACCCTCAAGTGGGGGCTCCAGAAGTAATACCCACCTTTATCCTCTTCCTGAACCTCATCATGCCTTCAATTTGGAGTCAAGGCTCATGAAATAACAAATCCAAGATGTCCACTTATTTGGGCATCACTGACTGTGCTGGCATCGCACAGACACTCAAGGGCAACACAACAGGCCTGGCAGTGAGGCAGGGAAGCCGGAGGAGAGCCCTGCCTTGGACAGGTCTGTCCCCCAGGGCCCGGGCCTCTGAGGTCAAATGGCAGCCTCTTTCCCGTTGGGTGATGGGCAGCCCTACCTCCCTGCGTCTCTGACTACACCACATGCAATTGGTTCTTATCTATTCCGGATCGCGGTGCTATTCAGCGGCCCCAGGGGGTTTGTGCTGGGGGTGTCCCTGGCTCAGTCCCACAGAACTCTCATCACTCCCATGGTGTAAACAGACCCTAGAAACCCCTGTCTGTTTACCCCACTGTCGTGACCATAGCCTATCGAGGCAGAGCAAGATCCCATTTTGGAGTGAGGGGACGCAGAGAATGGGGCCTCACGCAGCTTTTGGGGGAGGGATCTTAGTGACAGAAGGAGGCTCCAGCACAAGAAGAGACCCCTCACCAGCCCGACCCCAGAACCCCCTTATTGTCCCTCAAACCTCAGGAAGCAAGCAAGATGCCTTAAGTTGCAGCCTTGTCATCACATGTATTTCATGGCAAAGCTTTGAACCCAATTTAAGGGGAAAATATGATAACTTAAGAAGATGGAATCAAAGCACATTCAATCCAAACATGACCTCAGGTGCCTGTTTAAATTTCCCTCACCTCCTCTGCGGATCAGGTCAATGAACAAAGGTGTGTTTTTTTTCTTTCTTAAAGATGGCATTTGTGGAT